GCAGACATACACATACATTGTTGATGATTATCAACAAATGATTATTACATATTTACCACATACACACAACGAACAAGTTTTGTTGACAATCGATCAAAATTTTAAAACAAAAATCATAATGAGAAACTAATGTCTTTTCTTAATTTGAAAATTTTTTTTGTTTCTAATTTAAATTTAATTATTGAAAATCAAAAAAAATTATTTAACACCTACCTTTGATTTTCGTTCAATTAGTTTTGTAATTTTGGAAGATTTCTTGTTTGCATTTCGTCATGGTAATCTTAATCAAATCAGTTTGAATTCAACAAGTTACTTTTTTCCACAAGTTTGTTTCATCAATTTTATCAGTTATGAATTTTTTTTTGGTAACATTTTGAAATCAAGGTCAAACCATTCATTCAATTTACCTATGTAAGTTAGAATAATCAATTTTCATCATCCATCATCATCATCATCATCATGATGATAATCACGATCGATTCTTTTTCACTAAAAATCGATCAAATCATTGTTTGTATTCAAATTTATTGATCAATCATTTTTTTGGAAGAAAAAGTTTTTGACCATTTTTTTCAATGAAATGATGATGATGGTAGTGGCCACCAGAATCCATCTTTAGTCAAATTGATTGATAAGATTCTTTTCAATTTGATATTTCTCCATTTGTTTGGACAAAAAAACCTTAATTTTCCGATAACAACAACAACAACAGGAAATTCATTTTTGAATAACAATTGAAAATCAAACAAACAAACTATACTGGCGCCATCATTTATCGAATGTGAATTGAATTACATTACAATTCATTTATCTAAAAAGAATTGATATTACACAATGGTATTCCATATCAATCAATCAATCAATCGATCAATCAAATTTGATCATTGGCCAACAACTAGTGAAAAAAATCCTACTTCTTCTTTTCATTATCATCATCATCGTTATCATTATTAAACTTCCTTGTCGAAGAATTCTTAATATTTTTTCTTGGTTTAATAATAGATTGAATGGATTGAATTGTGAAATTTCAAAAAATAGAAGAGAAAAAAATTTAATATAAAAAACTTTGAACTTTGAATCCTGATTTCTTGCTGTTGTTGTTGTTGTCGAATGAACAAAAGAATTCAAAATTGATTAGTTTGACGAGTTGGTTGGTTAAAACGGTCTATGGAAAGAATTTCAATTGACCATTTCTTGTGATTATGTTTCATGTATCTCAAAAGTGAATCAAAAACCAGAAACATTAGTTTATTGTTTGATTGATCGATATCCAGCTACCCTTATTTATCAAATTTTGATTGAATCATTCTTGATATTTCCGGTTGTTGCTATTTTATGATGATGATGATAATAATATGATGGCCATTCATTTTATTGATTTTCTAGGAAAGAAAAGAAAAAAACATTGACAATCAAATCAAATGAATTTCTTTTGTTTTGTTTTTGGTTTTCAGATTTCGGTAGGTAACGTGTGATAAAGCCAAAACTAACATTTCACACTTTATTGAGAATACTAAGAAAAAAAGATTCTAATTATACATCTCTCGGTTCAACAACAACAACAACAAGATTTTATTACCCACTTCTTTGAATGATCTGTTGTCCAATGGTTAATTAAAATAGTGTTATGTAATCAAGATTAAGACTGAAAATGATGATAATGATGGTGGCTAGATTTGAATTCTTTTAGAAAAAAAAGAAACAAAACAAAACAAAAAAAAATCAATTGATGTGGGCAAAAACAGCAACAACAACAACAAATCAATCAAATGAAAAATTTGAAATGCCATAACAAAATTCAATATCAAAACCAAAAGGAAATGATAAAAAAAATTTCAATTGAATTGAAATCAGAAAAAAAATTATTATCAATTTCCTGATCTGGATTGAATGTGGATTGAAACACACACACACACACATTGATTTGATATTTGCACATTCGCAATTGAATTGCCAAAAGGAAAAAATAAAAAATGATATTGATGAAATGAAGAAAAAAACAATGTAAAACAATGAAAATTCTTTCGTTTGGTTGGTTGAAAATTTCCCAAAAAACAACAAAATTTACAAAATTCATTCGACCAAATCGAAGTTATTATTTTGCGAAAAAAACTAAGAAACAAAATTCTCAATATATTTTCAAATGATGATTATGATTAGCCAATAATAAATAATCAATAAATAAATAAAAAATTGATTTAAAAAAAGCCTTAAAATGGATAAGCAATAATGTACTTCCTGAAAAAATAATCAATCAAATCGATAATGATGATGATTACCCGTTTATCTATCCATAGTTGTTTAAAATTGTTGCAATTGGATTGTTTTGATTTAGAAAAACAAACAACAATCCAATGATGTTAATAATATTTTTAGGATTAGATTTGCTGTTTATTTGTCTAGTTACTCTCTATCTTGATCCGTATCCGATTCGTTTGATTGAATTTTCAAAAAAGAAACAAATTTTGAAAAAAATTTTGACAATGAAAAATTTGTTTCAATTTTGTTTCCACCACACACAAACAAACAAATTTTCCATCCTTATCTGGTTGTAATTCAATTGAATTGCTGGTTATCAAATCTTCTTGTTTTTTTTCCTTTTTTGCTTGTAACGGTTTCTCTCTCTCTCTGGCTTCCTAACTTTATCTCCAAACACACACACACACATCAAAATACCACTATCTTTATGTCGTTATAACAGTAAACAACTAACCACCAGACACCAAAAACCATCATCATTATAAAAATGGCAGCCAAAGTAGAGAAAAAAAAATCCGATATCTTTTTTCAAATTTTGTTTCTCGTTTGCTAGAGTGAATGATTGATAAGATGTTTAGTTCATCATCATCATCATCAAATGTTTCATAAATGATGCAAGAAAAATAACAGCAAAAAAAAAATGATTTCAGAATTTCAATTTAACAAAATCAAATAAAAAAAATTTGTCAACATTTTGTTCATTTGTGTCTGTGTGGTGTTTTTCGTGAATGGTGAATTATATGGTGGTTGAGGATATCCGTTTTATTTAAACAAATATGACATTAACAACAACAACGAAAACAGTGTTAATAGTGATAAACCTCGTAAATATGGTCATCAACGAAAATTAATTTCAAAACAAAAAAACAAATTCGAGTTCAAGGTTTTTTATTTACAAGGATCATCGTTCGCCGATGGTTTTAATTAACTGTAGTTTCAACATTGTCAAGATTGCATGGATTATTTGTAATAATTCAAAAAAAAAACATTTTTTTTTGTGGACAAAATTGACAATTATATATTGGGTGTGCATGTGTGTAACGAATCTATCGATCAAATCGATTGTCATGTTCATCATCAATAATAATTTCCCAAATAATATACAGGTAATGTTCATTGAAAATATTATCATTTTTTGGGTGTGGGTGTTTGAAAATGGCGGTCTCTCTCTCTCTGTTTTGCTCCGAAAAGATAACCATTGAAGCCATAATAATTTGATTTCATTGATTTTGTTGAACAAATCATTCGAATGTGATGTCATTCAATTTATGGATTTTATCCCCAAAAGAAAAACATTACATTTAAAAAAAAATTTCCAGTTAATCTTTGTAGTGTCAATATTAATCAATCAATCATTTGTTCTGTTTTTTTTTGTGATTATGTTTTGTTGGTCTATGAAAATCTTAATCATCAATGTGTGTTCCGTATTTTCTTTTTGGATGTTCTAATTTTTTTTCGCCAAACACAAACTGACTGCGAAAAAATTGATATGTTTTTTTTCTTGAAATTAATTATGTCATTTCGAGCAAAGACTTATTGAAGAACAAGAAGATTGCAAAGAAACATTCAGCCGATTAAATGAAATGATATTTTTGTCTATGAATTGTGAATGACATGATTTCATTTCATATTTTTCCTATTTTCTTCTTTGCTCTAATAGGCCTTTTTTTTGTTGTTGTTGTTCAGAAAGTGAAACATCTTCTTCTTTTTTTGTTGAAATACGATGATGATGATGATAATAATAATAATTAATTAGATCATCATATTTGATAATTATTATAAATCTTTTATGATATTTTATTTTGATGCTACAAAGACAATCCACACACCCACACACACACAAAGATATCAAATTATCATAAAGCTAAATGATGATGATGATGTTTTATCCATCGACAAAACGCCTCCATCTAATATCGTTTAAAACAGCAAAAAATTATCACAAGATCATAAACAAAAAACTGCGTCTAAATGATCCACATATGAATTTTGGTTAAATGTCATATAACCACCAAGTCTTTCATTCATTTTAAGAGGAGAAAATTTTTTATTACGGCCATCATCATAGTTATTTGGATGATGACATTAATAAAATTTTTTCAAAAAACAAAATTTTAAAATTTGATTGCATCAAAATCTAACAATAACAACGACGCACCAGAATCCAATACAATCACAATCATCACCTGAAATGTCAACAAGTGATTTTTTTTGTTTTGTTTGTTGATAAATAGATCAATCATTTTTTTTCTGCCTTTATTGAATGAATGATGATGATGTTTAACCTTTTTTTTTCTCCGTTAAATATCAGATCAAATCAATCGATTAAATCAATCGATATTTTTTCTGGTTCATGATTTTTTTTCGGAAAAAAATAAAAAATTGACCGAATTTCGAATATCATCATGTTCGAAACATTCGAAACAATCGATAGTATTCGTTCATTACTTAATTTTTTTTGAACATCTATTTGACATCAATTTATTCGATATGGTATTCGATATCTTGATCCTATTTTTAGAATGAAAATTATTATTTGATTCAAATTTGTATTTCATCGATATTTTTGTTTTATTGATTTTCTTAATTTATTGTTTGTCTTTTTTTTTAAATATCAATAAATATCGTTTATCGATGAACTCGTTTGTCATCATAATCAACATTATCATCATTGTTTTTGTTTTTGTTTGCCACTAAAAGATCATAACATCAATTTTAATATGTGTTTTTGTGTCATATCTTTTTTGAATATATAGATTGAATTTCTTCTGCTGATGTTGTTGACATTTTCCATTTTCAAATATGTTTTTTACATCGAAATAATCTTCTAGTACATAAATCAACTTAATTCGCGATCTGATCGAGAAATATGGATTCATTAACATCAAAAAAACAACGTTCAAAACAACAATCTGGTACATATGGCCAATATACATTACCGGCTAATTCAAAATCAATGATAATTCAAAAGGTGGGTGATTTTTAAAAATCATTTTTTAATCATTTCTTTGCGAAAAAAAAAATCTTAAATTTTAAATAATGATCAAAAGATGGCGATAGTTTTTAGATTTACGTTGTTTATGAATCCTATGAAACAGGATACAGTGTACATGCATGTGTGCTCGATTGTTGTTTGCATGTGTTTGTGTTATTGATTGAGTTTTCGAATATTCGAAAATATCTCTTGTGTTTTTTTTCTTCAATATTTTGATTAAATTTGAGAATTTTTTTGTTTTTGTTTAAAAAAATAATCAAATTTTCTTGATTATTGAAAACGATTTAATTGAATGAAAGAAAGAAAGAAAAAAACGAAAACAAAATTTATTGTATCATTGATTTAAATGTAATTGATTGATTGATTATACGACCGATTATAAAAGGAATATAGCAAATATTGAAATACAAATGGAATCACCGGAAAAATTTGATAATGAATTACTTATGGTTATTGATCGTTTTTCATATCAATATTATTATAATAAACGTTTAATTGGTGGTGATATTAGTCTTTATCGTAGCAGTGGACGTGGTCGACCTCGAAAACAGCCGAAAAAACAAGGATCATCATCATCAATTATCAGTGTTGATGATGATAGTTGTATCATTTGTTTAGATGGATATATTGATCAGGATAAAGTTAGGTAGGTAAAAATTTATTGAATGATGATTCCTGATGGATTAATTGATTAATTAATTAATTGATAATGACAAAAAAAAACATCGACTAATCATCATACAAACAATGAATAAAAAAAGACGATTACCATGTATGCATCTATTTCATGAAGAATGTATCCTACAATGGTTTAAATCTATTAGTTATCAATGTTCTTGTCCTGTTTGTCGTATAAAAATATTTTGTAATAATGAGATGAGTAAAAAATGGTCAATACCAAGACATTTATTGGAACCCGAAAAACATGTGATGATTAAAACTGATGAACAAATTAATCGTGATTCCAATAATAATAACAATAACAATAACAATAATCGTAATGTAAAACGTCGTACAAATCGTCAATCTAATAATATTAATGTTGTTAATCAAGAACAAAACAATATATCTACAACAACAACATCATCGAATACTAATATATCATCATCATCACCACCAATTGCATCAAGAACTAGAAGTCAATTACGTCGTTTATCATCGCAACAATCAATTTCAGCCACAATGACAACAGCAACAACTATTAATCCTTTGATATCCATTGGCCGTCGAAGTCGTATTTGAAATAATCGTATTCATACTTGACCACCACACCCCCATCATACACCTGAGATTCATTAATAATTTTTCATAATTCATTATTTTCAAAACTGAATCGAATTAATCACACACACAATTTATTAATTTTCAAAAAACATTTGATTAATATATCAATCAATCAATCAATCAAAATACTTTTCAGAAAAACAATAATCTAATCAAATTTGATTGATAATTTTGTGTTTGTGGTTTAATTGTAAGTGAGAGAAAAAGAAAAAGTAATGTATAATTCAATCTTTAAAATATCCATGTAATTATAATTACATTTGAAAAATTTCAAAATGTGTGTGTGTGGGTGTTTACCTTGAATTTCTTAATTTTTTTTTTAAATACCGTTTTGAATTTTGTCAATTTTTGTGTTCTTTTTTTCAAGTCTTTTTTTTCTGTTCACAATGTTTACAATGAATGAATGTAAATCTGATCTTTGTTTTTTTTTAAAGTTTCTGATCAAATATGTTTTTGTAAATGATTAACAAAATTTATTTGTTTCGTTTTGTTTTGTTTTGTTTTTCGTTCGTTTGATAAACATCAACAAATATGTTACCAATGAAGAATATGAAAAACGAAACAAAAATTTTGATTTTTAAAAGTTTTTTAGTTTTGTTTCCATACATAAATCACACATGAATGATAATGATATTCATGTTGTTTTTGTTGGACACATGTTTTTGATTTTTCTTTCTGGATAGGGGGGTTTTGTTCGTGTTTATTCGTCGTCCACTTGTTGATCCGTTTCATGTGTTTTTGTTTTTGTTTTCTCGTTTTTTTATTGATCAATTGATCAATATGTTGTTGGTGTTTAGATAAACAAATTTAGGCCAAATTTTGTTTTTGATTTTGATTTTGTGATAGCATTTCAAACAACAACAACAACAACAACCGAATGATATTTTGTTTGATTATATTTTGAAAGGAAATCGATAAAAACAACAAACATGCAATTTTATCATTGATTTAGTGGTTGGTTACTCTTTTTTTTTATTTTTTCATCCATTTCATTTTATATTCGTGAATTTTTTAGATAGATTTTCAAACATGAAAATCTCCGTTATCATCGTTAGACAGACAAATTTCAAAATTTAAATTTTGTTTTTTTTAAACAAAAATCAAGGAAATATAGTGTGAATGTTGTTGTTGTTGTTAACCCAGAATGAGAAAAAGGTTAGACATGTTGTGTGGAATAAGGGTCAAAGATTTTTGCATATTTGGAAAATGTTTTTGATTTGTTTTGTTGAAAATGAAAATAAACAAATTCTGATCACTTTATCTGATGATGATGGTGGTGGATTGCAATAATATTTTCTGTAAATATTTATAATGTTTTTTTTTTTGGCAAATAATCATGATTAGAATGATGGCAGTGGTCTTGGCTATGGTGGTTGTATTTTCACCAAAAAAAAATCAAGATAAATCCACCAGACTGTGAATTATTGCAATGGATTTGTCTGTGTGTGTGCTATATGGAGCGAACAAAAGTACAGAATAGAATGAAATTCAAAACTTTAATACAAAAAAAAACTTTCACCCGAATAATGAAATTTTTTTCAAACTGAAAAAAAACCAAAAATGTTATTGCCACCAATGTGTGTTGGAATGATTTTTCATTTTCATTTTTTTTTTCGTTTAATGTCCGTTCACTTGATGAACGATGATGACAATGTTATTTTTTTCTTCTCCTCCTGTTCATAATTCTCCTGTTCTTTTGGTTACAAGTTATGTAACGTTAATGTAGAATTTCAATGAAATCATCATCATCATCATCGTTATTTAATATTCGTCTGGATTCGTTTATTATTTCGTTCTGAATTTTTTTCCATCAAATCATCATCATGATGACGAATGTGAATTATACGAAATATTCATTTTGGAAAGAATTTTAAAAAAATATGTTAATAATTTCATAAACATTTAGCAAATAATCATTCATTATGAATTTCATGTGTGCGTTCAGTGTGTTTCCAATTATTATCTAGTTTTGGCTTTTGTTTAGACATATGATAACAGCAAACACAAATGAAAGAATATATTTCTGACCAAAACAACCAAAAATCTAAAATATTTTATTATCGTCGTTCATTTTTCTTTTCATTCATTCATTGATCGTTATGTATTTTGACATGTGGAATCTTTTTTCATTTGAAAAATCAAGACTTTTTTTGATGTTTGGATTTCTGATTTGTTTCAATGTTGAGATGAGTCATATTTATTTGTGATTATTTTTTCTTCCTTGCTTTCATCAATATTCAATTTGATTGACAAAAAAAAACGAAATGATAAAAAAAACACATCCGATCTACCATAAAAAAACACTTGAAGAAAAAAATGCTAAGAATGCAAAGACTTTGAAATAAATCATTTTATGATATCCTTTCATCATTAATTAGTGTATTAAGGATGTTTGTATGATTCATATGTGTGCGTGGGTGTATCGTATGATGATAAGAATCCTGGTTTGAATATTCTACCAATACCACTACTTTTTTTTCTACATTCAACAAAAAAATGCTAGGAACTATTAATTTGTTTTAATAATAATAATAATGAATTCGACCGACACGCGTCATCAAAATCAAACCGAAAAAGATTTTCCCGTTAATTTTTTTCCATTGAATTTTATTCATTTTGTGTTTATCATTCACCATAATTTCTGGTTGTTTATTCAATTACTCACTTGATTTATTTCAATTGAATGTGATTTGATTTCTTTTTCTTCCGTTTTTTTTGCTCAATTCGGTCATTCCACTTTCAAATTGAATTTAATTTTTTTCTGATTTCCTTTTTTTTCCAGGATGGTCATCAAACAACAAATATAAATCCAAATTCATATCATTTAATATTGACACCAACATTAGAATCATTGAAAACATTATCATTACCACGTAAAATTTCACAATCTGGTATTAAAAATCATAATCATAAGAATGGAATTTCATCATCAAAAACTTTGAAACGACAATCAAAATCATTTATTTCATCCGATGATATACCTGTTGTTAATCCTGCATTTAATGATGGAACAATAATGCCAACAGCTATTTCTGATTATGATGATCCATTACGTTTACATCATTTACCACAACAGAATCCACATCCAGATTTAGTTGAAATACGAACTAATCAAAAATATTCAACAACATCAAAATCAGTAGTGGCTGATCAGCAATCATCATCGACAGGCAATAATAATAATAGTAATAATCGTAGCATTCCATCATTTCATTTGACAAAAAATGTTCATTCAACATTATCAAAAGTGACTGATCCAATTGAATTCTGTACATTACCACAATCATCTCGACAAAAATCTAATATGATCAATGATCCACAACAACAACGACAATCAATAAATATGTCATCATTTCAGCTGCAACAGAATCAACATCCATTACCACAACCACCAACTATACAAACAATGCAAACAATACAAATGAATCCAAGATTTAGTACATCATCATCGATTAGTAATCAATCATCATCAGATGTTTCTGCCAATCCATCTACAACATCTAGTCTTTTCTATGTAGATTATCGTCCATCATCATCATCTATAAACAACAATAATAATAATGAACAAAAACAACAACATCGAAATTCATCGGTATCCGAACTATCATCAAATAGTTCAACAATCACCGATGGTAGTAGTGGTGATGTTGATAATAATAATCATCATCATAACGATGAAATAGATGATGATTTACCACCTCCACCGGATATATTATTATGTGATGGTAATGATGATATTGATGGTGGTGGTAGTATTAGTGATCAAAAACAATTAACACCTACAAATAAAATAGCTCAGCTATTACCACCATTGCCACCTGATTATCATACAATATCAACATTACAACGACAACGTAAACATCAGCCAACATCAACTACGCAACAATTTCCCTTTACATCAAATACATTAAATCGTTCAAAGCCATCCGCAATTAATCATACAATCAATGATGTTCCAGCATATTCAACAACTACATTAAGTTCATTCACCACTTTACAACATCAAACGCAATCATCATCATCAACACCAGGATCACAATCGAGTACATTATTGCGAAAACCTCCGCCGCCGCCACCACCACCAAGGCCGCCACAATCGATCTCATCGGATACAACATCATTACAAACATCATTATCATCATCAGCTAATTCAGATTCATATGCTGATCCACAAACATTATCGATTGTTTCCGGTTCAACATCAACATCACCAATAACTGATAATCTAACAATTATGACAACACCATCACCAACATCTGAACATTATCAAAACTCAGCATCATTACAATCACAGCAACAACATCCTCAACAACAACAACAACAATTGGGTATAAATCAAACATCAAAATTATTTAATCGTCGTACACAATCACCAACATATGGTTGGGTTTATCATCAAACAAACAATTCAATAAGTGATAAAAATAATCTTCAATCAAATATGATTAATCAATTTGAAATAAAACGTTGTGATTCATTAAGTTTAGCTGAAAATGGATCAATTTCAAATGGAATAATAATCCATAATAGTAATGGACCTAATAGTTTGGAATCGGGTGATTCTCGTCAACCATTAACCAATCATTTATTTGATAATAATAATAATAAGAATAATAAAATGAATTCAAAGAAAAAAGAAAAGAAAAATCATCATCATCAACTGAATCAACAACAATCAAATAAAACATCATCAAATGTTTATCGTAATCAAGTATTTATTGGTGAAAATGATTGTAAATCAATTTCAAAAAATAATGCTAATAATAATGATGATGATGATGATGATGGTAATGCTGATCGTACAAAAGAACGTATTATTAGACAATCATATCGAATGTTTTTCAATGATATGACATCGGATGTTGATCATCAAAAGAATGGTCGAAAAAATCATATGAATGGACAGCAAAAATTTTCAATAATCGATGATAATGATGAAAGAAAAAGAAAATTTAATAATCGAAATAATAATTTATTGATACCGATAAAAACACAAAATGAAAATTGTTGTAGAAGATTTTGTCGTTCAACAATTATCATATTATCAATTATGATATTAATTATTGTTTCAATCATATTGGGAATTACATTGTATAATCATTTTGTATTGGATAAACAAGAAACTGGATTCAGTGCAATCGGTCAGATTGAACAATTTTTCCAATCATTATTCAAAACAAATTCTTCTAGTCTAAACAACAATAACAAAAATAATAATTTGACAACAACAACAACAAAACCAATGCATACAACATCATCATTATTATCAACATTAACAACAACCGTAGGAATATTGATGAATACATGGAATATTTCAAGTAAACATTCTATTAGTACAACACCATCGATGATTGACATTCCAGCATCAACAACAATAACACCAACAGTAAAATTTTATCCGGAAAATTTGACTGCAACAACAACAACGACGACGACAACAACAACAGTCATTCCTTTAACAACAAAAACGATTAAAACAACGACAGCCATACAGGATTCGGATTCGAATATCATTATTATACCAACAACAACAATATCACCCTTAATAGAAACAACAACAACAGATAAATCATCGCTGTTGACAGAAATGACTACAAAATCTTTTTCAAATAATGAAAATCAAACGGATACAAGAACAACAATGATGACGTCGATGATTTTGGATGGAAATTCGGAAAACAATGTTCAAATTGATGTGGAAAATTCAACAACATTGATCAACAATGATAAACCTGTAACAACAACATTACCATCAATAATTGATTTAATTGAAAATAATCCGTTGACAACAACAACAATATCTATAAGTACAGTGCCAACACAAACGAACGAAACATTTCCAATCGAACCAGTAACTATAAGTACAGTGCCAACACCAACTGAATCAATGCCGAATGAAACATTTCCAATCGAACCGGTAACTATGAAAACAACATTGACTACTGAACCACCAACGGCAACAATTATTTACGATGAATTGGATGGTTTTCAAGTTTATACACGAAACAGTTCGATAACTGAATCATCCGATAAATCGTTTATATATGAAACGACTGTCATGACTCCTTTGACCGAAAAATCGAAAAAATTGAATCAAACATCCGGAAAATAATCGGTGATGATCAAAAAGTTTAAAATGTAAGTATACCTTGAATTTGTTTTTTAAAATATTAAAATTTTAAATTCTTTTTTCAAATCATTTTTCTAGATGTGATCCTTCTTCATCCGAAAAGCTCAATTTTACTTACAAATCAATCAATCAATCTATAAATTGATTTTCCTACGCTTGTTTGATTTTTCCGAAAAAAAATTGATTCATCCGATTTGATTTTGTGACAAATTTTGTGATCCAACAACAAATATACATCCAAGAATATATACAACGATATTATATTTTTCATACTGCTACGGATTTTTTTATTTTATTTTTATATTTATTCTAAATATGATTTCATAATTTTTATTTTATAAATAATATTCAATTTTAATGATAAAAATAATAAAAAGTTTAAATAAAATTTTCAAAAATAAAAAATTTGTAGTTTGTTTATTCAACACTAGATGGCAAATGCATCGGCATAGATAAAAATGATATCCGTTTATCGATGTCAAACCAAACAAAATTCATGGATATTTTTTTCCATTGATATTTTGGGATTTTCTCAAGAAAAAACAGAATATTCCATCATAAACAAGGAAACAATTTTAAATGAAAATCTATACCGATTGACGTAATCTATTTTCTATTTTTTTCTTTCTTTTTTTTTTGACTATGCGATTTTGTATTGAATCTGAGAATTCAAATCAATCAATCGGATATATTTTTTTTGGCCATAGATCTGTCTGTGTTTATTTTGAATAATAATAAACATTCATTCAAGGATAGATAAATAAACATTATTTGAAAAAAGAAAGAAATTGAATCAACAACAACAACAACAACAACAAAAATTCGATATCATTCAGAAGGGATTGGCAAAAATTGACATTATAATTGATAGATTATCATTATTATATAATGTGAAATGAAGTGAAACTTGAAGAAATTTACGGTAAGAATTTTTTTTTGCCATTATTATTCCTTTCGATTCAAAACATGTTATTTTTTTTCATTCGAAAACATCCATCCAGAATGATTCATTGGAAAATTTTTATTCTTCAAAAAAAAATTTCAAAATGATTTTTCATTCGATTACAACAACAATTGTTTCCATTGTGTGTGTCTGGTATCATATAACCAGAATCGAAACGTAAATTAAAATGAATTATTTCGTTTTCTTATGAATCCGAAGAAGAAGAAAAAAAAACAGAAAACATCCCATCAATGATGATGCACATTGTTCATCAATCATTTGATTTTCATAAGATTTTTGTTTCCCTCACTAATATATTTTTCTGGCCATTTAATTTTTTCTTTTCCTCTTTGGATCATCATCATCGAAAAAGAATACAAAGAATTTCGATGATGATGATGATGATTAAGATGGATGACCACAATTGAATTGTTTGTTTCACTTAAAGAATAATGGTGAATCAAGAATAGGGAAAAAAGTTTTTTCTTTGCCAGAAAGAAGAATCGAATCATTTCATTTCATTTCATTTCAGGTGTGTCTGGTTTGCGTACAATACAGCGACCAAATTGTAAATGCGAAAATGATTTACATTCAATATTGGATCGGAAATATTTTTTTGAAAATGATGATCAATTAACAGGAAAAGTTTCATTCAACTGACTTGATTTACTGGGTCTCCAAACTGATTCACCAACCAAATTGTTTTTCAATCCATCATTATCGACTGTGATAATAATCATGTGTGTGTGTGCGTGTGTGTTTCTATGTATTTGTCAACATTTCGTTAATCAACGTTTGCGAATGAAACATCACATTTGATTTATCATTTAAGTGGTAAAAAACAACGACGACGACAAATTATCGAAAAAGAATTATTGAAATGATTTAAAATCTAAAATCGATAACAAAAATCGATTCATTGTGATGACCAAAATCAAATTCATCATTCATTGTCATGTGATTGTGAAATTTTTTTGATTTTGTTTTTGTTTCCAAAAAAAGTAATTATTTGGAATAACATTGTGTATTTTTTGGGATTTAAATCGTTTGTTAAGTTGTTGTTTTTAACAATGATGATGATAATGTTTGAATCTAATCCTAATCTAATCTTTACATTTGACAATTGATGTTATGTAATAATGAAAATTCTTATCAATTTTGTTTTTTTCTGTATGAAATAATTGTCAATAGATGATTGTCACATAATCATTTCGTTTGTTGGCAGAGAAGAGATTCCGTCATTCGTTCTATTGAAATTCTTTTTATTTTTTGTAATCGGCAAGAAATTTTTTATTTTTTTCATTTGCAATCAATCATCTTCATTGTGTTTATGAATGAAAAAAAAGGAAGTGAATAAAACAGCCAAAAATGAATTTCAATAATACATACAAAACTGACCTACATTGAATACGAAACAAAATCTATGAAAAGTGAAAATGATGGTCAAGCGAAAGCCATATATATATTTTTTGTTGTTGTTAGTTCCTATGTTAGTTGTATAAACATACGAAGATCATCATCATCATCATCAATGTCATCATTGTCATATTAACAATGAATATATTGTATGTTTTGAACTGGGCTTTAACCAAAAAAAAAAAAAAAATTGAATGAAATGAATCGAATAAGTTCCAAGAATTCATCAGAAAAAAAAGTAGAAAATAAAATGTTTTCAAATAATAAACAAGGAATATAGTGGACAACAGAATAATATTTTCTTTTTTTTTCGACCAAAATCAAATAACCAAAACAGCAGCAACAACAACCGAAAACAATAAACGAAAAGAAAAAGAATAATGTCTATCACATTTGATGATGGTCATACAATCAAGATGATGATGATGATGATGATCAAGATCAAAATGGAAATCTACAACCAGAACAAAAATCTTAAACATTAAATAACCAGACCACCATTCACTATCAGACACTTATATATCTTGAAATAAGAAGAAGAAAAATGAAATGAAATGCCAGAATAGTTCATGATGATGATGATGATCCAGAATATCGTTCATCTTTATTCACTGAGGATGAACGATATAAGAAATAAGAAAAACATCAAACTTGTTTGTACAGTGTTTTGTCTCTCTCTCTCTCTCTCTCTCTGCTTTCTCGATTTTTACATTTATTATTATCAAACGAACCGAAACCATTGAAGAAAACGAAAACGAAAAAAAATGTTGAAGATGAAAGTATCATCATCATCATCATCATTCTTTATATTTATTTCTTCAAAGAAATTTCTCATTCATTCATTTTCATTTCCAAGCCATTCATCTCATAATATAAGCTAGGACTACTATTTCCTTCAAAAAAAAGATTCATTCAAGATTCTATTTTCTTTTTTTTGCTTTTTCTTGAATATATAATATATATCCAACTTTGACTGAAAGGAAAAAAGTCAAAGTCAAAAAATGGGTTATATATGTGTGAATCTCTTTCTTTCTCTTCTTTTTTCTGTTCTGTTTTGGTTGGTCGCAAAATGTGCAATTTTTTTCCAAACGGTTCTTGTTGAATAGAGAAGACAAAAAAAAATGGAAAAAATAAAGTTTTTTTTTCTTCATTCAAATGTCAAAAAATTCTTCATCATAATATTGATGCTGTTATGGTGTATATTTATTGGAATAAAAAAAAAAGAATCATCATCATCAGTTTTGCGGTGGTGGTTCCGGCATTTTGATTCATTATAAACGATTTATTCATTCAATTTTTTTCTTTGAAGAATTTTTTTTTTTTGCCACGTTTTTCGACAAACATTCACCATGAACACAGACACACGTAGTACTTTGGAATCATCGTCGAAATATAATGGATGATTTCAAATAGAAAAATTCTTCATCATTTTGACTGTTTATAATCGAAAAATATTTTTTTTCCGTTGGAATTAAATATTGAGCAAAACAAAAAAACTGACAAAAAAATGAAAATGAAAAAAACATTTTCCCGCATCAATGACAACATAGAATATTTGTTCGGGAAAAAAATGAAAATGAAAAAAACTTCAAATCGCATCAATCCCTATAATCACCAAACATCATTGAGAATGGATCATGAGGATGATGATGAAAAAATCAACCGTGCAGAACCACGTTTAATCGTGGTTCACAAAACTGATGATGATGATTTGACCCCGGAACCAAACTGACATTTTTCTGTTTGTTTGTTAACAAACAACCCAAAAAAGAATGAATCCAGTTTTGGGGGATCATCAAAATGATTCATTGTCTTTGGGTGTAAAAACAATGTATTTTCTTTACTGTTATAAATCGAGATGGATCGATTTTTTTTTGTTTTGGTTTTGTTTTTGTTTCGAAAGAAATGAAAAACTCTAATAGTTCTTTGATCCTTTGAAATGTAACATTGTTTCTTTTGAGCCAAAAGATGAGGTCAAAGTTTGCCTCCCACAACAACAAATAAAACATTTTACTTTTACGAAAAATCATTTTTCATTATGTTGGTGGGTGATATTGAAAACAAAGTCAGATGAAAAATCGTTTTTGTTTCATTTCTGTTTTCTGTTTTTTTTTCTATCCTCTGTCATACACACAATCCAATTTCAATTCAATTCAGAATTGAAACAAAACAAAAAAAAATTTATTTAAAAAATTTAGAAGAAAATTTACTTCAATTCAAGTTTAATCTATCTATTTTTTTCTTTCTACTCCCGTTGTCATCACATCATCATCATCATCCGCCGACATTGTTAAAGCCATTGGGACAAAATCATAGAATTTAAAGCTGAACAGAAAAACATTGATGATTCTATGAACAAACATAGATAGAAATGAGACACATAATGTTACGATTTGTTGAAAGTCGTTAAAAGATCATTATTTCTTCTCACATTCTCTCGTTTTTTTGGGTTGCCAAATGATGAAATTCTGGAACAACAAAAAGAAGAAAAAACATTTGCCAAAACATTCGATTCATCCAAATGATTTGACAATCGTTTGTCAGCTTTGTTGTTGTTGTTGTTCATCATCATCATCATCGATAGTTCATGTTTGATGGTTTTTTTTCTGTTGTTAACCCGAAAAAAAATTCAATGATAATGATGAAAG